GAGAGAGAGAGAGAGAAAGAGGGATGAAATTCGCCATTCAAGGTATACCGAATTTTTCGTTAATATCGTTTAAACGTCCTCGAGATATGAAATCACGATGGGCATGACGGGATGAAAAGGACGAGAGAGGAACGAGGTTTCTCCCGATCAGTCACGTTGATTTTCCATTATGTTTCACTGATCCCGGCAAGTACCGTTCAGTCGTATTGATTGACCGAAAGCCAATAAAAATCCAATACGTCTCTGTCAATGCTGACGAAAGACGATTGCCATGGCTTTTCTATTATTTCCTCGTCCATGATCTATACGAAAAATCTGTCTCGTCTCTTCTAGCTTCTGTATGATGTATGGCAAAATTTCTGTCGATGACGTTTAATACTGGTCGCAATTATTTTCGTTTATATATCGAATTTTATAGTTATATATAGTTTATATTATATACTATTATATAGTTTATATAATCTGAATTATCATATACATTTTTTTATTTTTATTTCTTCTATTCTATTCTAAATATTTAAAGATTATTTTAATAATATAGGTACATTTTACAATTATTGAGAAATAAATATACGTGTGGAAAACAGGTCGTGTATAAATGTAATTTTTGATTTAATATATTAATGAAAATTATATTTTCAAGTATAGTTCAGAATATGAGGAAATTAATACTAAAGATAAATTTTTTTTCAATCAATGAATATATAAAATCATGGAATTAAATCAATTTACATCTTTGTATATTTTATATTTTACATTTTGAAAATAGATTGTGAAAATCACGTATAACAAATGAAATTTGGAATTTTCGTGTAAAAAATGTGAAAAAGAACCGAAGATTTTATCATCAAAATCTATTCAGGAAATAGAGAAAACCATCCCATTGAAGTTGCTTTTTGTTTTATCCCGATATCTCAATCGGTTACCGAGATATAAGAATTTTTCAATAGGGCAGAGATTATGAATGGGTCAGTGACCTACATATTTTCCTGGAAATGCGTACTATTTCCAGGAATCGCGTCTGTCGCTTGTCTGGGAGTTTGGAATAGGTCAGTGAGACGAGGTGCGAGCGAGAGTTCCGAGTAAGCGATAAGGACGAAGATAATAAACGATCAAAAATTACCTTTTCCTTTACACGACGATATCTCGGGAACCGGAAGTCGTATCGAGATGAATGAAAAAGCGTTTTAAAGTGCAAGGTTCAGCGCTTCTAATGATCTCTCATCCATTTACAAAAAGTGATTACCTTCGAAGTTATAACGGTTTAAAGTTTTCCTAATTTTAATAGAATTTAATCGAGTTTTATGATAAATTACGTGATGATTATGTTTATTTCTGGAAAAATATTGCTTATAAGGATATTATTAATGGTATCTTTAAGACTGTAAATAGATTTAAAAGTTATCTTGAGTTTTTTATTGGAAATAAGTTAGCTCTTTATTTCATTATTATTTAATCGTGTTAATTAATTATTGCTATAAGAAATTTTATTTATGCCAAGAATATTTTTTTTTTAGATTATTAATTATCAATAAAAGAATATAATTTTTTTTTATTTCAATCTTATTTTAGCTTAATCTTATTTAAATGCAAAACGATTTCTATGATAGTTAAAAATTTAATTTCGTAGAAACATCAGAATATAGAGTGAATAATAATTATGGATTTTGGCAAAACTTTGCTCGATTTTATGATTAATGGCATAACATTTATCTACGAAATGGAACATTTATTCGCGACTAAATAAATAAAAAATTGCATAGATGGATGAGTTTATTTCAAATTTAATTCAACTGTCTCTTTGCTCGTGTTTTTCTTTTTTTTTTTTTTTTTTTGCAAATATCACTTCGTTCAACACGGTTTACGTCGCGAAACTGTCGTAAATCATTTTCACGGTTTTGTATCGATCGATGCAGTCACCGACGAACGTTAGTTAAACTACTTCACGCGATGTAACTGATAAATACAAAGATAGTTACCACTGTTACAACCATTTGATACAAACAAATAGATTGTTTTGTGATTAATGTGAAAATATTACAATTCCAATATTTGTCAAATTAGCTTTGTGAATTTAATACAATCTTTGAATTTTCGTGTTAAATTCTTTTAATTTTCTTTAAATTCTTTACTTCTTTACTTTTAAATTATTTTCAAGCCTTAATTTTTTAAACTTTCAATGTATGTACTAAATCGTGAAAGCAAATTTTCGATTTCAATAAAATATATTTTATATATTTAAATTTTAATTCTACTTCATTTTTCAATAAACTTCGTATAAACTTTATTTACTCGTTCAATTATTAGATTTCTTTATATTCCTTAATAAAAAGATTCTTTCTTTATAATACGATACCAGCTATATAAATCCCACGATAAAATTTCCCATAAATTTTGATTAAAATTCAACAAACCAATCCTATATTATTAATGATCTTAATGAAATAGAATAAAAATATATAACACATATTAAAAATACAATTATACAATATACACTAGAGACATCAACATAAAACATTTACGATATACATTTTTATTAAACAAATTATCTTATTTCTATTTCTGAACGTTGTAATTGTCTCATCCCAATAAATAATCTGCTCGTAACGAAGCATCTTACGGATAATTCCATTTACGTGACACAACCCCTGTGTAATAAAACGACGATTATTAAAAAATGAAACGAGCTCGTAATCAGTCACGTACGTTTAATTTCCAGAGTTAATCGATCAATTCCATCTCGACGATTCTTACGCAACCGTCGAGTTCGGGCTCGTCGATAAGAACGACAAATCTCTCCCCATGTTACACAATGTTTCCTTATGCGAATACATATTTTTACATCGGGAACGATATGGCCGGCCATGCGAGGAATTCTCAGCGAAATCGAACGAATAAACGGGCGCGTAGCCACGATACATCGATGCATATTTCGTATTAATTATGGATGGTCCTATATATCGTTGATTAAGCCATAACCTAATGAAATATGCTGTTTAATTATTCACTGCTTAAACGTGTGTAATTAATACAGCGGTCGAATAGATTTCGTTTGTCTGCGAGCATCGTATAAATTCAGGGGCTGTGTGCGGTGATCAGATAGAGAAATAACGGGTTAGAGGTTGTGGAGGATCGGTTGATTGCTCAAAGCCACTTTCTCCCATTTATCAGGGTATAGAATAGTTACTTTGATGGATTTCGCGTTCATTTTAAGTGCTTTTCCATTTAGTTGAAATAGTGGTTGCGTATGGGGAAGAATGGGATGACAAAATAGTCGATCAAATATTTTATGCATGATATTGTTCTATATCTGTTCTGTATCGTTTATCAATCTAATCAGAATATTTACTGAAAAATTTAACAACCGTATAAATGTTTCCATCAAATTTTTGTTGATATTTCCAATATATTTCCCTAATTTATATCAATTCTAACATCATAAGGGATCATATATCAACATAGATTATGAGAAATTACCATACATCTTTTCTTATCTTATCTTTTCAATAATAACGAAACAAAAATCCTTGTATTTTGATTAAGAAAATTAAATGATCTAATAGTAGAAGTATAAGCAGGAAATTTATCGATATTTGTGTTAAAAAAAATCCAATTTCACAATTAATCCTTTCTTTCCAGGAAGGATAATCGCGTCTGACATTCATTGAACCGTATCTAACACATTTAGAAACGTTGGAAAGTTGACCAGAACGAAGCAACTGTGAAGAGACTCAACAAATATCCCGGTCTCGCTTCGCTGCTAATGTAAACGTCGTGTTGCGCAAATATTTTTCACAAAGAAGACGAGTGAACCCGGTGTTGGACGGTGAAGAAGTTAATTAAGTATAAAACGCACAAACCGCAGTTACCTCGCTCACGTTGCAAAATCCGCGAACATTGTAATTTTTCGTTACACGTTCTTTCGTCACAAAATTCGAAAAGAAAAACCGTGAAAGATTCGCGTGATAAATGAATGTGAAATCTGTTTTATTTTTAGTATCATTACGAAACATTTTTTTTAATTTTCGTTAATTAATAAATCGATTAATATTCGGAGCCAAGTGAAAATGGTTTTAAAATAAAATGATAAATATATTGTTTCGATTGTTTTGAGCACGACGATAGCGATTTATACCCAATATTACTGTGCAGTAAATTCATATGCTTTGTGATTGATCAATGTTTTTTTGTTAATAACTCATTAATCAAATCCGAAACGAAAATTTTCGCAAAGGAATATTCGATAATAGATACATAAATTTTCAAGTTATGCGATTAATTTAATTATGTGTCATTATTTATTACGCGATTCAAAGAAAAATTTTTGTGGAAAAAGTATGGAAATTCGAGAATTCGAGAAATTATTTGTAACATTCATTTAAAATGAAGAATTTAATATAGAGAATCAATGCAAAGTAAACGAAATAATTCTAGATGAATTTAGATTTAGAAATATTTCAATGAATAATCAATCTGAGATTTTATCATCATCCAAATTCTACTAAATCAATCTTCTCTCAAATATTTTCAATATTCACACATTATCAATGAATGCAATTTAATTTATCAATTTATCAATTAATCATTATTATAATTATCATTATTATAATTATATAAAACGTAATTACGTCGAATTTCGGAAAACGTATTTAGATTTCGAAGTACATCTCAACTGTATGTTTAATTTATTCAACACTTTGAAACGTTGAAATCATCGTTTGAAAATTCGTATTAAACGTTCGTTCCTCAATGAGAAGAGAAATCGTCTCGGTTTAAAGGGAACGAAATTCAACCGGTTTGACGACGACGATTTTAATATTAACTCTTCTCAAATTATCCGTGAGTTCCATCGATTCTCGGGGACAAACGAACGGGACCAACGAACGAATCGATACAAAGGGGAATCGTTAGTAATGAAATCGGACTAAAAAATGCAATTGCACGGAAATCCAATAAAGCGTCAACCATTAAATCGAGCACCAGCCATCGAGCTGGATCAACAGCGACGTTTGTCCGCTCATTTTTTCCATGGGAATACACGTTAGATAAATCGAAAGTTAGTATCGAATATGCATACACGTATATCTCTGATCGTGATCGTTTTAGGGGAGAGATTTTATTGGCGGAATATAGAATGGATAATGGACAGGAAAAGTTTTGATAAGATTTCGATGGATCAATAATATTTGGATTAATTTTATCTATGCTAAATATTTTTAGATAGATTAGAATTATAGTTGAAGTATTTCAAAATCTGAGTCTGTTTCTCCCTTTATCCTTTATAAATAAACGTGTAAAAATATTATTAATCGTTTCCATTAATTTTCTTTGATTAAATTTGTTAGATTGACGTTTAACTGATAATTTTATCTGTGATAAATATCTTTAGAAAATATTTGAATTAGTTATGAATTGAAGTATCTTGAAATTCGTAATCCAATATGATTCTAGATTTAGATATTATTAATGTGATAGAGTTAATTTAATAATTCTATTTAAAAGAAAAAATTTTTAAATCGATATTCTGTTAAATGATTTTTCTATAGTATAACTATCTTTGGAAATTTTAAATTATTTATTATCATCTTCTACACATTTTTAACATTAAATATTTTTTCATTGAATCGTATTCAGTAAAATATTTGATACTGCAAAAATTTTTTTATAGAATGAAAATAATATAATATTTAAATAGAAAAAAATCTTGTGTTCCAACATGTATACTTCATGTAAATTAAAATGAATATTATAAGAAATATTCTTAAGAAACAATATATAATTTCTTAAAGACACAGACAAATATGGAACGTTATATTTTAATATTACGCAAAAATAATAAATATCTAATTTACATTCAATATTATATAATTTAATCCTATAATTTATATATCTACCTTATTCATACATTGATATCGAATACTCATAAACAAAACGATTGTGACATTCGGGGAGAAGTAATTTCTATCCGGCAGAAACGATGAAATAATAATAATAATAAGAAGAAGAAACATTAGACACAAGGAACATCGTAAGAACAACAGGGTAGGAAACAATCTTACCTCCAGGAATTACGTTTCCGGCTCCTTTCTCTCCGTATCCGAGTTCCGGCGGTATGGTCAACTTCCTCTTTTCGCCCACGCACATATCCACCAATCCCTCGTCCCAACCTTTAATAACTTGGCCAACTCCCAGTTGGAATGTGAACGGCTGATCTCTGTCCAAACTGTAACAGGCAATAAACGGAGGGACGTTTTAAATACCGTCTCAGTGGAAATTCGCGAATAATTTCTTTTTAACGCAGACGAAATTACTTATTTCAATCTTCATTGAATAAATAGTTTCTTTTTTTTATACAATTATGAAAATAATTTATTGATATAATTTTTATATCAAGTTTTTTTATAATGAAATTTCAACGAGTAACGATTATACGATATCGTTTCTTTTGAGCAGTATATTGAGCTCATAGATTTAGGGATCAAAAGTGAGGATAACTTTTTGTTAATCACTTTTTCTATAATGATCATCAATCATTGTACTGTCGCTTATTACTTTTGATCAAAGGAGATGGAAAGAGTGTGTTTCGAATAATTTGAAAATTTCATAGAGAATTTGTCTGGAAAGGAATGATCATCGTTTCGTTCCTCTTGCGTATATTAAAAATTAGGATTAACGATACTTTTTCAATTATGAAATTCAAATTTAAAAGAAGATTGAATATAAATATTGAGAGCAATGTAATTCGTTGAATTTCAAGATTTTTTTTATTCCTAGGAAAGGCAAGCGCACGCTCGTCTACCATCGATATTTCTCGTGAAAAAGGTTGCGTTGTGAAAGTGTCAATCCGACGCAGCCTCGTAAAACCGGGTTCACTCCAGCCGATCGTTTCACGCGTTCTGCCAACGAAAATTGACAAGTTCATCGGCTGACTGACGCGAGAAGACGGAATAGAGAGGTAGAGGCTCTGTGAGACAGAAGAAAATTCGTCGAAACTAATATGAAAACTTAATATAAGCATTGGAAAACTAAGTAATGATCAAAAAAGTATAGAATTTGTAGAAAAGAAATACTTGTTTTTATACAATTATAAACAACGTGTCGTAAGGCAAGTTATATTTTTATATTTGAAATGTTACAAATTAATAAAAGCGTTTCTCATAATGATAGGAATCATTATTAGATTCTTACAGTATTGTATTAAGCTTTCATAATAGTCTGGCATATATAATAAAATCCTCTCGTTTTTATTATAATTCTTCATTAAATAAAATAAAAATTTCCATAATGCATTATTCACGCAATATAATAACTTTGGTCGTGATATTATACTTTCTGAGAGTGGAATTTTTAAGTGCTCCTTTCAAACTTCTCTTCATTATCACTTTATAATACAGCATAATTCCAACTCAATTATAAAAGAAGATTTACTACTTCGAACTGATTTTAAAGTGACGTCGAATGAAAGCACAAGTTAAATATTAAATTGATATAAACGAATCTCCTTATTTATTCTGCGTATCAAAATACAAAAGAAAGGAAGGAAGAAAACAGAGCGAAATCAAACATGGACAATAAATAAGATAAAAATCTTGGAGGAAAAGGGGACGCGTGTGAAAGAAGCTCAGCGTAAAAAGTCAATGGCACACAAGGGTAGGGACACGTTTTCGTTCGAGGCATCCCAACATGCGTTGAAACCACCGACTCAAAGGGTTGCGACGATGTCGATGGCGCGCACACACGAATGCGGATGAAGTTCCAACGAGTAACTATGCCGTGCCACGAGGAGAATCTCAAGTACCACGTTGATATGCAGATATTTCGTCTACGAGTTCGTCTACACACGCGTGCATAATTTTAGAAATATTCCCAGCAATGTTTCTTCCAGTTTTGTCTTCATTCTTTTCGGTGCTCTTTTCGTAAAATTGTATGGGAGAAATCGTGACTGTGAATAAAAATATTCGAAAAATATCGAGAATAAATTTGAAAACAAATCGATTAAAATCGATAACGTTTAATATACGATAATATGATAATTTGTAAGGATAATAAGGAAAATGTGAAAATAATAAATTGTATCTGTTAACATTAGATATTAATGTAAAAACATAAAATTATTATTAATTGATCAATATATCTCGCCTGGAATATTCCTTTTAATCTTTAAAATCAATATCCTTTAAAAGTATATTTTACAAATAAATTTATAATAGTATAAATAATTACTAAAATTATTTTTTTAATCACTCGTACAAATTTATTGTTATTATTTTCCAAAAATGTGCATTACGCGTAAAACACAAAAATATGAAAAGTATTCAAATCTTCATACTATTAAGAAGATAAAATAAATTTATATTTAAATTCAAGTTCTATCATTATCATCACATTTGCATAAATATTTCAACAATCTACCACCTATCAAAAGAGTATAATTAAACGAATTTTTTTATGAAAGAAAAAGAAAGAGAATTTATTTCCAATTGCTCTAATATTATTCGTATACTTTAATTCAATTTGAACAAGTGTTCAAAATGAAAATTCATCTTTATTATTTAATATGGTACCACTCAGTCACTTTAGC